GGCCGCGTGCGCGCGCCTCTGCCGCTCGCGCAGCGCCCCCTCACGGTGCGGACCGGGACTGCGCCCCTGCGCGCCGGTTGAGGACGAGTGCGAGACACCGCGTGAGTCCTATGTTTAACCCTACCCCATTCCGTCACGATCCCCAGGCGCCTCTCACAACCTAATTGCCCTCTTCGGGGAAATGGGGCCCGGGAACCCTTCCCCAGCTACCCTAGACACACCTCTCCATGAACTAGGGACTGCCGCTGACCTGGCAGCGCAGTAGCTCTCCTCATGGCCCCCAGCTCCCTTCCACAACTCAGCTACCTCCTTCAGGGAGCTGAGGGCCCCGGCCCCTCCCCAGGTCCACTCATAGTCTTCAGCCCGCTCCCATGATCCAGCTACCGCTTTCAGGGAAACTGAGGACCCTAGACTTCCCTGCCTGGGCACTGCAGCCCACTCCCTCTTCCCAGCACTCTTGTCTACCCAAATAGGAATCCCATACCCATTTCCCATGCCATTATCCCCAGTTCCACCCCTAACCCATTCCCACACCCTCTTCCAGATGCTCAGACCCCAAAACTCCATCAATTCTGCCCCAGGAGCACCCAGGAGCTTTGGAACCCCCCCAAGGGATTCCACCATTCTCCCTCCCTGCGATTACACTCCAGACCCCATTTCTTTCTAAAGCTTGGGATCCCCGAACCCCACCCTGGATACCCTCAGACCCCTCCCCGAATGTCTGAGCCCCAGTGAAACTCCTAGGACTCCCAGTCTTATCCAGATCATCCCAGACTTGCCTTAATCCAAGGCCCTCTCATTTCCCCCAGAATGCCAGGGGTCCCTCCCCAATCCCCAATCCTCTTCCTTCATTCTCCTCTTTCCAAGCTCTGACCTGGGAGCTCCACTCCATTATCCTTCCAAGAGCTCAGACTCTGGAATTCCTTAGCCTGGGTTCAAATTCTTGTTCTGCCACTTCCTAGCTGGGCGGGTCACCCTGCCTCTTGGAACCTCAGTTTCCTGGCCCATAGACTGGGAGTCACAATACCATTTAGCCCAATGGATTGTCAGTCACAAAGATGAAACAAATGATGCATAGAAAGCGCTAAAAAACTTCTCTGATTCCTATTCTCTGACTCTGCCCTTCATCAATATTCCTCTTCTTTCTGCCTCTCCTCCCCCCACAGCAGCATGTCGAGCAGGCTGCAGCCCCCAGCACGGCTTCTGTGAGCAGCCTGATGAATGTCAATGCCTGGAGGGCTGGACTGGGCCCCTCTGCACAATCCCTGTCTCCACCACCAGCTGCCTCAGCCCCAGGGGTCCATCCTCTGCCACTGCTGGATGCCTAGTACCTGGGCCCGGGCCCTGTGATGGGAACCCGTGTGCCAACGGGGGCAGCTGTAGTGTTAGTATCACCCCTCCCACCTCTTCCCGGGCAGTACTTTCCCTTGGGAGTTCCCACCGCCCTCTGTCTGGGGCTCCATGAAACAGCCTAAGCTGCTGAGCGGGGGGTGGGGAGCTGCAGGGGTAGCAATCAGGGAGGGCTTCCTGGAGGTTTCTGACCTGCATCTGGGGCCTTGAAGTAGGATGAGGTGATGGCAATGGGTTTGGGAAGAGCAGACCCAGTGGGTGGCACCTAAAGGTGTGGACATGGAATGACAAGGAGTCCTGTGGGGCCACAAACTGCACCCTCTGTGGGGTAGAGAACAACTCAGGGCTCAAGATAGGGGTGGTGGCGCCAGGTGGGTTGAGAATTAGGGATGGGGGGCACAAGAGAAGGCTTTCTGGAGATGAGCCCGGGTCTAGGGCTTCTGAAGTTTAATTTGGCTGGGAGGAGGTGACTGGAGAAATTAGACAAGATGAGTGGCCTCGGGTAAGCAAAGGTATGACTGTGGGAGGGAGCCTTGTGTGTACTGGGATGAAGTAGAGCCCAGGGTGGGCCACCTGGACACTGCTACTACTATGGGACAGTAGAAACACTCAGTGTTTAAATTGGGGGGTGCTGAGAGGCGAGAGCCAAAGAAGGCTTCCTGGAGGAGGTGGGCTTAGATTAGGACCTGGAATTAGGGCTGGGCTAGGCAGACAGACTCGGGGAGGGCAGACAGGGCCAGTAGCATTTGTTAGGCAAGGTGTAGGTGGGAATGGGATCTCTCTGGGCCTCCAGAGCCTTCCCTCTGCAGGGCTGGATGGGCAGACCCAGAAATATGGAGCAGAGTGTGGGGTCGTCTGGGGAGGACTTCTCTGGTGAGGCCCCTACACACTGGGAAGGAGGTGGGACTGGAGAAGGAGCAGCCCGCACAGTGGTCAAGGTCGCAGAGGAGGATGGGATTTTGCTCCAAGGAAACCCTGATCCAAAGTCCTCTTGCTTCTGCCCAGGAGACACTGGGGTCCTTCGAATGCACCTGTCCCCGTGGGTTCTACGGGTTGCGGTGTGAGGTGAGCGGGGTGACATGTGCGGATGGACCTTGCTTCAATGGTGGCTTGTGTGTGGGAGGCACAGACCCCGATTCTGCCTACATCTGCCACTGCCCACCGGGTTTCCAAGGCTCCAACTGTGAGAAGAGGGTGGACCGGTGCAGCTTGCAGCCATGCCGGAATGGTAAGGTGGGGAGGACAAAGCAATGAGGGATGGGGGAGGGAGGTCCCTGCACAATCAGTGGGCCTGAGCAGGGCTTGGCTCACATAGTCCCAGGTGGGACTCCTGTAGCCCTGCAGCCTGGGGAAGTGATCCTCCCCCTCAGCCCAGCCTCACTTTGCTCTTCTGTAAAACAGGCGAGGTGATATTCCTAGCTCATAAATATCTGTTGATCATCCACTGAGTACTCGGCCCTGTTCTAGGCTCAGGGGATGGGATCAGGAATGAGACAAAAATCCCTACCTTCATTGAGATGATGGGGTAGACAATGAAGAGGATAAATAAGTAAATATATAGGAGGTTGGATGGTGATAAAAACTAAGAAGAAAAGTAAAAGCCAGATGGGGGATGGGGAGTGTGTATGATGGGGGCAGGTTGACATTTTAGTTAGAGTGGTTAGGGAAGAACCTTGCTGAAGGTGTAGGGAGGGAGCTGCGTGGGGAGTTGGGGCACCAGAATGTTCAGAGTAGAGGGACGAGTTGGTGCAAAGACCCTGAGGTAGGAATGTGTCTGGTGTGTTGAGGATCGTGGGGAAGACAGTGTGGTTGGAGCAGAGTGAGTGAGGGGAGAGAGGTGAGAGATGAGGTCAGGGAGGGGACTGGGACAGATCCTGTACGATTTCATGGGTGATGGGGAAGATTTTGGTGTTACTCTGAGTGAGATGGAGCCACAGTAAGGTTTTCAACAGTGGAGAGACCTGATTTGATATAGGTATTAAAATATTAAACAAGATTATGAATGCAAAGGGCTCAGTGCACCCTCTTATAACAATACTGATTCTTTTCGAAACACTCACTGAGTGTTCACCCGGGGCTGAGTGTTACTAGGGACACAGCAGCGGCCAGGACAGCTCTGGGCCCTGCACTCATAGGGGTACCAGTCCAGAGGGGAAGGCAGAGTCGTCTTCAGACAGAGCCCAGAGCGGCTAGGGCTGTGATGGGGGAGGGCAGGACTGGGATGGAGGAAGAATCAAGGATGGCTTTCTGGAGCAGGGGACACCTGAAGGATGAGCTCAAGAGAACAGGTGAAAAGAATGGGAGAAAAGGAGGAAGGGAAAAGGGAGAAGGTATAGGCCAAGGCCAGGTGGTTCAGACCCGTTGTTCTGGAACCGTTAACTATTTAAATATGGTTGAAGCCGAGAGAAAAAGAGACAGACACAGAGCCAAAGAGGTGAGGCCGAGTTAATCCAAGACTTCATCAGGGGAAAAAAAGCAGGCCGCCTTTCCAAGCAAACTCCCAGAGGCGGCCCTTGAGTTAGATGAGACAGAGGGGACCCAGAGAAAAGGGGAGGGCGGGGATTACTGAGAAGAGAAAAAGAAGCCCGGGCGGGTCTGGGGCATCGCTCCTCCCAGACCGCACCCTCGACACCCAGTTCCCCACAGGCGGGATCTGCCTGGATCTGGGCCACGCCCTGCGCTGCCGCTGCCGTGCCGGCTTCGCGGGGCCGCGCTGCGAGCACGACCTGGACGACTGCGC